TCACGGTGTAGACATGTGATGTCACAATATGTGTATGATGTCATCCTGCAGGCTGTGGAGCAGGTGGACTCCTCTCAGGAGGTGAGCTGTCTTTTTAAAACAATTGAAGTTTAATCAAATGAAATGAATTTTCACATGACCTTACATGAAACTGGTGTGTGTGTGTGTGTAGAGCTCAGAGCGCCTCCAGACTCCCAGTAACACCAGCAGTCTGTGGCTCAATGAACTGGTTCGACTGGGACAGAGAGTGTTTGAGAGAGAGGGAGACGCCGGAGACGAAGACGCTGGAGACGACAGTGTGGAGAGCAGACACAGGGTGACATCATCATGACATCACATGACACATCATTTCAAACAAACCCTGGAGCCCAAACCTGAATGTGAGCACATTCATATGAAAGACACGGAGATGCTAACAGATGAAGTTCATCTGTGACTGGGAGCACTGATTATATTTTCCATTATACCCGCCAGAGTAGCACAGAAGAACCAGAGTCTAAACTGTAGTCACCTTGATTACCCCAAATTGCCCTTCATCGTGCTGAGCTCTGCAGCCAACAGGACAAAGTCAAATAAAACTGAGACAACAGCAGGACAAAGAAGGCTTGACCACCAGAGTGTGTCTGCAGAGCTGGAGGCTGCACCGATACGACTGCACCTCTATTGCCTTTTATTCAGGACAGCGCCACCTGCAGCAATGGATTATCAGTGAAGGGTTTTAAAGGAGGATTTCACTCAATAACATACTGACACTTTAAAAGGTTTATTTCAGGAGTATTCTACAGAAAGTCCTACTTCATGTCCAATTACCTCAATTTTAAGCTTTATTCCACCGAAAATATTACCTCCCAAACATACAAAAGTAAATGAGTCTTGTGACTCCTGTCGCTGAATCTCTGATCTCACTTCCTCCTGAGAGACTCAGAGACAATGACATGCACGTAGATATAGCACTGATATATCTGACAACCAGAAAAAACTATTGTTGCTTTGGCAAAATATGGTTGGAGCTGGACCAGAGGGGTTGGTACAGGCTGCTTCTTGTTGCCCTCACTTAGACGCTTCTGTTTTGTCCAGCTAGACAGTTAGCTTACATGGGAAGTCACACGGCATGCTTTTCTTGAGACCGTAGCAATTTATTCATTTTTCTTCCATTAATGTGCTTTCCTTTTCAGTCTCGTAAAACTATACAGAAAATGATACAGAAAATAAAGTTACGTTACCAAACTATTGACACAAAGGTGTAATTCTACTAACTAATATGTGACATCTAACATATTACAAAACAGAATAAACACTTACGGACGATTCTTGTCCAAGGCAACATCAAGCAACGGCTTAGGCAGCGAGGTCTGAACATGCAGGCACCGTGTGCTCTCCGTCATGTATGACACACAAAGAACCAACTTTAAGATTTTTCCTAACGCTCCTCTGTAGGGGGCAGCACACGAGTGTTCTATAAAGTCCTGTTTATGTGATCGTGGCAATAGATTCAGTAGATGTGTCAGAATAATCTGACATAACTGTTAAAAGCACTAAATGTCTCCGCGTTACAAACAATGAATAACAAAGACGAGGACGAAAATGTAGCTTCACTATTGAACCTTTTAGACTCATCACAGGAAGAATGACAGATGACTGAGGTTCACAGAGGTTTTAGTAAACTATGAGAGAACCAGCAGCTCGAAGAGGAATCCAGCGTTAACACCTCTGATTTAAACTGGGACCAGTTCACATACCTGAACTTTATTAAACCTGTGAGTGCTAAACATTCACTCTGAAGGTTGTTGCTGCTGAACGTAGTGACAGACAGAGATCACTCCAACACGCTTCTATCGTCCGGTCAGGTGTTCATTAATATGCCGTCTGTAGTTCATATCATCATCTGGAACCATCGACTCAATGAAACACGTCAGCAGCAGCTCAGAGCTGCTTTTACAGCAGCTTCCATCAGATCAAACTGGCTGTTTGCAGGTTTAATGACGAGTTCAATCTGTTTGCTGTGCAAATGAAGACATCAGAAATATCTGTGATGTGAAAAACATCATCCATCCTGGGTAGGAATTCTGTTATTTACTTTGGCATGCCAGCTATTTCCTTATAAACCCCACCCCTCACATTAACCCCTCCTCCTGCTTTGACCACGCCCCACAGGCGCTGATGCTGACCTATCACCACCTCCTCAGCCGACTTCGTCATAGGGAAACCGGAGCTGTAAGAGCTGTAGGCGGAGCTGCAGGAGATGTGGGCGGAGCCAGAGAAGAGAAGCTGGACGGCCAGTTTCCTCGACTGTTAGTCAACAACATAGAGGAAGGAGATGGGCTGACCTTTGACCTGCCAGGTCTTGGTTCCCATGGCGATGAGGCGGAACTGGAGCTGGGGCTGTAGTGGAGGCCACGCCCCCTGTGTGACTGATAGCTTATCAAGTAATCAATTGTTTAAATTTCTGTAATTTGAGTAATGATCCGTAGATTATATTGACTGTGTAGCGGATCATGTCACTGAAGTTTATCGTCACGTGTGTTCACAACATTTTACTCAGTTTATGCACAAAACCAGAAAAAAACAGTCAACCACCAAACATGGAAAACTGCAAACGCTTACAGCCCAACAGCGCCACCAAGTGGACAGTAATTACATTTAGGTAAAGTTTTTTCTGACACACTTTCTAATACCAGCATTACAAAGTTCTGTTCAAATCAGCGTCGGTATCTTCAGAAAGTCGAGGCGCTGAAGGAGACCAATGAGTGAAGGCCACTCCCACCTGACGCTCTGCTGCTCTGCTGCCAGCAGGTCTGCTCTGATCGGCTCCAGACTCACTTCTATAAATGCAGGTGTCCTTGAGGTCACCTGCTACTTTTCACTGATTGGCTGACAAAATTCTGGAGGTGTGACTTATTGATTCATTAACCCTGAACTTCTTGGCAGAACTTATGGATGTTTCTGCAGCTTCAGGATGATTGTTTTTCACAACAGTGTCACCTGTAAAGTGAGCGAAACACAGCTTAAAGATTAATTCCACCAAAGGCAAACACATTAATAATTAACTAAATTGCACGACAGATTGTTTGTTTAACACATAATCCTGGGTTGGTTTTGCAGTGCGCTACCATTAGCTAAAACATGACTGAAGAATATCAGAGCCAGTCAGTGTGGAAGCTAACGATACATTTGCTAGTAAACTGAGGACATTCGGTACTCACACTGTGACACATACTACTCCTACCTTCTTTGACCTACAGGGGGCGCTGTGCTAAAACATCCTTTAACCTAACCACACTGAAGGTTTTATACTTTACAGTGGCACAGTGTGGCTGATTAGAAACTTCTGTAGTTGTTGGTACCTGAAGACAAACCTCTTCAGACAAGTCACAGCAGAACAGCGCCTCCATGTGGTCAGTTATTGATTCTCAGCATCTGAAGTGCTCCGTGGTAACAAAAGGTTGAGAGGACGATAAGTGCAAAGCCCTGAAATATCCTCAGAAACATCTGGTTCATATGGGAAGGATTTGAAGTTTTTCAAGGTTCTGCTGTCAGACAAAAGACAAAAGAGTGATTTACATTTCATTATTATTTAAAGTCTAAAACTATTGTTGGTCATAAAACATGTATTTAATCACTAATATTTCATCACCATGACATTTTTAGCACTCAAATCTTCATCTTGTGTGAATTTCCAGTTGTGCAGTTTGAAAAATGTAACTGGGTAACTTAATATGAAAAGTCACCTTATCTACATAAAAATTAACCACATTTATTAAATTAAGTGCATGCATGGCTTAGTATTCAATTAAGACCTGAATATAGATTCATCTTTAAAAAAAAATCAGTTTGATCATCAATAATCTGAAAACATGTTTAATGTGTGTAAAAATAGAAATGCAATATAACAATAATTCACTTTTGATTTAATCCACGTGTTCAGTTTTACTTCTTGGTGTTGTTTGGTTTGATTAAAGGCTGGTATTTTGCTGTTTGGACTCTTTCCTGTAGTTTGTTTTCTCCTTCTTGTCATTGATCATCTGGATTTCCATTCTCATGGTTTTCTGATGAATGTCCATCAGTCTGTTTGGTCTTCAGAAAACTACTGCAGACCAGTTTGAACAGCTACTTCATCTGTGCTTCTGGCTGCAGTGGGAACACACCAGCTGCTCTTCTTCTTCTGTGGTGTTTCTGATTCCATTGTCATCACATTCAGGTGCATCATATTCAGCACTGAGATAAAGAGTCCACTGAAAAATAATTCACGTTAATCAATGAATATTTTCAGTTACTGCTCAATGACTGAAATTTCCTGCTGTCAGATCAACAAAGAATCTTTAAACTTTATTTACTGTTTTCTTTAGAAAAGAGTAAAACAATACCAACAAAATTAATACCTGCAGTTTAAACAAATCGATGAAGCACAAGCAGATAAATTCTCTTTATTTTGAAAAAAAAAAAAAAAAAGAAAGCAGTGAAAGAATGAAATGATATTTAGAAAAGACGACCGAACAGTCACCCTGCCTGCAGCCAACCAGAATGCAGAGAGTCACATGGTGTTTCAGTGATGGACAGGTTCAAACGAGCGTTTCCTGCTTCTGTTTGATGTCCACAAGTCATGTGACCCATTGACCAACAGACTGCTGGAGATATTTATTACGTCCTCACAGTGACACTCGGTTCACAGCCTGATCGATCTGATCAAGTGAACTGCTCGCCGCATCATAAGCCTGACATCACCTGCTGTTAGCGCATTTCACCGGCCAAAAACATTATGTGACCTACAGCGTGAAGACAAACACCCACAAGCCTTTGGCAGACCTGTGTCAGCCAGTCAGGTCCACAGGAGGAGCCCTGCTGTCCAATCAGATCCAGCCTGTCCTCCTATGGAGAGACATCATCAAAGAGTCAGTTCAAAAGCATCCACCAATCAGCTCCCTCCTCACCATCCCTTGGACGCAGCACAAGGCTGTTTCTGTGGACACAGGAGGGCTGTCATGAAGGTGTTGCACCATCATCCTGTGGTGACCTCACTTCCTCTGGGCGGGGCCTTTGTGGAACAGGTAGATCGGCCGATGGTTACCTGAAACACAAACACACAGCAGTTCAGTGACAAATACGATTTCATCTTTTATATATGAATTCAACCAGGAGGAATGTCCAGCTGTCAACAAAACACCTGCTGGAAAGTGGGTGGTCTCACATTAG